GGCCCATTAGGTTAATCCTTGCAATGCTTTTTTTATATAGACTGTGCATATGATCACTCATGTCTTTATCACATTAAGATATAACAGTCTGTAGCATAGATAAACCTCTAATGTCAACTAATGACAGATTGTGTTTATTGTGGTACACAAGAACAGGAAACTCTCAACTGAGGGGGGGAATGGCTTTTATAGTAGTGTGGGGGGAAAGAAGGAAGCATTGTAGCAACAGGTGAAAGCAACTGAGGCTCAGAACAATTTTTAATCCGGAATTTGTCTCTTGCGAATGTTGTTCATATGAACTAGAAAGAGGAAGAGGTGCATTTACAGTTCCCTACCCTTGGGATCAGCAACACTTTTTATAATAACTCCAGTTAGATGTAAAAAAGAAGCAGCCTAAATGTTGTTAAGGATTCTTGTTTATAGTACAATTATACAAGGATGATTTGAGGTCTATGATGACCCCCTGTTGAAAAGCATAGACCTGAGAAGAAGAAGAGATTGGATTTATACCCTGCCCTTCACTACCCCAAAGGTGTCTGAGCGGCTTACAAACTCCTTTCCCTTCCCCTCCCCACAACAGACACCCTGTGAGGTAGGTGGGGCTGAGAGAGCTCTTGACAGAAACTGCTTTTTCAAGAACACCCCTTATCAGAACTACGGTTTGCCCAAGATCATATAGCCAGGTGCAAGTGGAGGAGTGGGGAATCAAACCCAGTTCTCCCAGATTAGAGTTCGCGCACTTAACCACTCCTTCACTTGCACCTGTGCATTAAAAAGACTCATACCCTCAGGGGAGGTGCATACATGCATATATATTATATATAGACACACAGAGAGAGCTTATCTTAACTGTTACTTCAACACAGAGGCTGCTGTTCAGGTGAATGTGTTTTCAGAGTATTGGACTCATCCCTCCCCGAGTTGCTTTAGTGTGCAATGCTTTATTTTCCCCATTTGCTTCAATTATTTATTCCATCTATACCTACCCTTTCTCCACAATGGGGTACCAAAGCAGCTTGTGCTATTCCTCTGTTTTATCTTTACAACAACAGTTGCCCACCTGGTAAGCTAGGTAAAGGTAAAGGTTCCCTTGCTCGAAAGCCAGTCGAATCCGACTCTAGGGTTGCGGTGCTCATCTCTGTTTCAAAGTCAAAGAGCCAGCGCTGTCCAAAGACATTTCCGTGGCCGGTATGACTAAACGCCAAGGCGCACGGAACGCTGTTACCTTCCCACCGAAGTGGTACCTATTTATCTACTTGCAATTTCTTGCTTTCGAACTGCTAGGTTGGCAGGAGCTGGAACTAGAGACGGGAGCTCACTCCGTCATGCGGCACCCGGGTCTCGAACTGCTGAACTACCGACCTTCCACAGCCTGCAGTTCAGCGTCTTAACCACTTGAGCCACCGCAGCTCCTGTGAGGTAAGCTAGGCTGATATAATTAAGGTTGCCAACGTCCAGGTGGAGTTCTTCTGGAATTACAACTGATCTCCAGTCTACAGAGATCAGTTCTCATTAAAAAAATGGCTGCTTTGGAGAGTGGACTGTATGGTATACCTTGATTTAGACTGTATGGTATACCTAGGTAAACTCTCCCTTCCAGAGGAACCACCCTAGGGTTACCAACTCCAGGCTGGGAAATTCCTGGACATTTGGGCATGGAGCCTGAGGAGAGTGAGATTTCAGGAGGGGAGAGACCTCAGTGGGCCATTTTCTCCAGTGGAACTGATCTTAGATCAGTTGCAATTCCAGGAGATCCCCAGGATCCATTTGGAGGCTGACAACCCTATACTATGCCTAAGCTCCAGGAATTTCTCAGGCCAGAGTTGCAAACCCTTCTAAAAGTTTGTGACTGACCCAAGCTCACCCAGCAAGCTTCTAGGCAGAGCGGGAATTTGAATCGGAGTCTCCCAGATCCGAGTCCAAACCCTATGCCACACTGTCCAATACCTAGCCGAACACCCTTCCAGTGGAATTCTTAGTTGTTTAAAAACAACAAGGGGGGGCTTCCAAGCTTTGGTGCTTTAAAGATGGTCACGTCTTCTCGCAGCTCTGAGAGATGCGTGCCATGAATCAGAGGATAGGAGGGGGCGCAATCGTCCGCGCTCCCCATGGAGCCCTTGGGCAATGGGCTCCTAGCCAGGGGGCTTCTGGAGAGCCCTTCCTTCGGCTGACAGCTGACGTAGGGGGGCTACTCTCTGCCCTGATTCCCAGCATTGTACTCAAAGCGCACGCTGGGACAAGCGTATGAAGGTTTGGCAATTTAACTCTACCCAGCGAGATCTCAGGGAGACCTGTTGGATCATTCTGAAGACTGATGAGTGAGTTAAAGTTGAAGTGAGATATCGAAGCCTTGATGCGAAGCCCCCCCCAATACAAGCGGGAGGGGGGAAGGGACGCCCTACCCCCTAAATGACCTGAAGCGGAAACACGACGGGGGGGACTGAGCATGCAGTGGCATGGATTATAACAGAAGGACTAGAGCAGAGAATTTGAAAGTAATCATAAAGAGTAACATTTTTTTTTATAAGCAGTTTGTAACCTTCAACACTTGGGCTTTTAGTGCCTCCTTTTTCTTTCTCCCATAGTTTGTAGTTTTCCCTCCCCTTTTCATTGTAGTTTTGTAGGTTTTTTTAGAAATGCAAATTTTAAAAAATCCCCTTTAGGGGGCCAACAACAACAACAACAAGGGGTACAGGGACTGGAACAACAGAAGAAACACCTGCTTCAGGATCAGAGAGAAGAATGTTGTACAGTTTTGGGGGAAAGTTCACTGTCATGGTTGGGTTAACTATAACTCCTCCTCTTCCACACACACACAGAAGGGTTAAAATCAAATACACCTTATAATCAGCGTAGCTTTGTACAATGAATGCAGATACCCCAACCCCCCCCCCCAGCCCCACATGTAAATAGCCACTGATTTGCCTATAACAAGATACTCTTCCTTGCCCAGCTTGGAATGAGATGACTAACACCTAAGCTCACTCTCTTTATGCACCACTCTAACAGCTAGACAGGGAAGACGGGAAAAGCAGCTACAGGGCCTCTCAGTGGAAGGACCGGTCGCATCATGTCATTCCCAAGCTTTGCAAGGGAGGAGTTCATAACAGCAGAACTCATTAGCAGGGAGTGGGAGGAAGCACACCTAACAAGGGAAGAGCAGTAACAATAATTATTGTTTTAAAAGGAAAATTAAAAATACATTATCAACACGATTGTACGAAGGCAGCCCTGACTCAAGCTAGTACTAAAAGTTTTATCCTATTTAAACAGAAATAATGAAAAACTCTTATATCTATTAAAGTATCTGCAATATAAGGACAATAATATTGACCTGCTTTACAGGGCTGATTAATGGAGAACTGACAGCATAGGTCCCCCCCCTTTACCTTTACCTGCTCTAATTTACATACGTTCTCAGGTAGAGGAAAGCCTTTCCCAGCACCTGCTATTTGAAATCATCTTACTGGAGATGCCTGGGAATGAATTTGGAACTTCTTTCGGGAAAGGTAATTCCTTTTCCACTAAGCCTCAACTCCTCCCCTTGTATCCCCAATCCCCTAGAATTGTCAATAGCTAGATTTTATTTCAAAGATGTACTTGATACCACCACCACCACCACCTTCAAGCTGAAAAATGTGTAAACTATTTGCTTTCAGGGGCACTCAGGAGCCAGTGGAGGTAGCCGCAGGGCAAATCCATATGGCTGTCTGTCATTTATCAGAGGTAGGGCAACCTATGCATATGCTGTGATTCAATACAAGCACATAATATGGCACTAAGCATAGAATTAATTTTCCTGTGAACCTTGGGATTCAGTTAAAGAAAGAACAAGTTTCTAGTCCATATAATTGTAAAGACAGGCTTCAAAATATGCAGACACATTGATGGAGAGCAGACTAATTAGCCACCCATAATAACTGTATGAAGCCTCCGTGTTCGGAGCCAATTTGCAACTGAACACCAGTTTTTGGGTGTAACAGTGGAAGAGGGTTAGTGCCTTCTTGTCTTGCTTGTGAGCTTCCCCAAGACATCCTGGATGGCCAGTGTGGGAAACAGGATGCTGGACTAGATGGACTTTCAGTCTGATCTAGCAGGGCTCTTCTGGCAATCCTTGATGGAAACTCCAAAGCTTGAATAAAGGTTTTCAATGGCAATGGGCAAGAAGTTTAGTAGCCTGCCCAGCTTCCATGTACCTTCTAATTTCTTACAGAAGCAGAATTACATTCTGTGCAATAGGATTTTAATTAAAAACAAAACACTGCAGAGTATACATAGCTCACCAGAGGAGCTCAGCACTCACTTCAGGTTTGTAAAAGAAGTGCAGGAACACTGACTGACCTAGTAAAACCTCCCAAATGCTTAGCTAGTCTAAGGGTGGATACAGATGCCTATTATACCAGGCATTCTACCACACATAGACACCTGAATTTCGATATACCACATGACAACAGGTCATCTGGACATGCCTTCTTGCTAGCCTGCCATTGATAGCTCAGGGTGACTGACTGGAAACATTGACCATAATTTGAAGGAAGGATTCAGACACCTGCTAATCATGAAACAGCTGTTTGAAAGACTACTTCACAGTGGCTTTAAACACGTTAAAAAGTTTGTCTGTGGGCCACTTGGAAACCCAGCAAAGTGCATGCAGCTGGTGGAGAATTTCCTGCTAAACTGAAGGCCCCAGGTGAGCACCACTCCGTGTGTTGGCCTGAGGTACGTTTTAAGGTAGCTACTGCCTAGTTAGCAGTTGTCTAAATCCAGACGATGTTTTTGTCTGAACCACTCAAGTTCTTGTGCAAAGTACTGAAAAACTACTTGGCTCTCACCCACTGAAGGGCCCCCTGGCTCACTCAAGTTTTGCACAAAGTTCTGAGGCACGACCCAGCCCACTGGAGTCACGCAGTGTGCCATTTTGAGGGACTACCTGTGCACTGCCTATAGGGGGAGCGTTTGGAGGTGGGTCCTGCAGATTAGGCCAAGAAGCCAGTCCTTACCGTCCACTGATGTTGGGGTGGCTGAGCTGCTGCCGCATCCGGTTGAACTGTCTCTTCATCATCTTGGGAGAAAGAGTGGACAGCGTCCCCCGCAAGAATTGACCAGACCTGCAGGGTTTTTCCTCTCAGCACAAGCCAGCTGCACTTGTTGCCATCAGTCGCTCTCTCTTTCTCTCTCCTCCTCCTCCTCCTCCTCCTCAGCAGGCTTGTTTCTGTCACTTCCTTGTCATTCTCTATCCTGCCCTCCCTGCTGTTTTCCCTCTCTATTCCTCCCTCTCTTTTTGTAGCTTCGCTCCTGCTGTTTTTACTTCC